TTACATATTTTAAAAGCTTCAGGTCAAAATACTACATATATTACATGACTGTTTTTGGTGATTTGAATAATGTTGATAAATGCAAATTTTGTGAAGAGTGGGTTCCTTTCATTGTGGTTTTCAACCATTTGCTTTTCTCTTCACAGAAACACCTAAAGCTTGTTTTTTATGAGCCATCATTATCTGATACTTATTTGGGGTGTTATAAATCTGTTCTTTTTGACATCACAGACATTAAAGGCAGGAAGTGGATATTGTGTGCATGTGGAGGCCATTTTATTCCTTTTCAGTAGTTCGAGGGTTTCAGCCAGCGACAACACATGACTGAATGTGGCTGAGTAGCAGTCCCATTGATGTCTTCCATGTCACCTATACGTTATTTGTAGTGTGAGAATGTTAAAAATTATTTTACCTTCAGTTCTTAACTCTCATGAAGCTCAAGTGAAAGAATAGAGGCATCCTTTAAAATTGTCACTTTTTTATTCAGTTTTTTCCAAGTGAGGAACAAAGAATAACATGTAATATACCTTATTTCTTATATTCTTCTTAGGGAGATCTTTGATTAAAAAATTTTTTTCTGGATTTGTTTTTTTTTTTTAACTTCCAAAACCAATATGAAAGCTTAATCAGCAGAGAGTGAGGAAAATTAGGTGTCCACCAGGGTTTTTGAAGACCTCCCCTTTTAATATCTTTTTACTTTAAATCATTGACTTTGTATAGTACAGTCCTTCAATTTTGTGATCCTTGATCTGGTAGCCTTCTTCAATGAATGTTAAGTTTGTAAAACAGAAACCAACTCATTACTTATGTTGTTAGTATCTCTGGCAAGAGGTGCGTAAGTGCTCTTCCATCCTTTGAATGAGTTAGGTTCCTTATAGTTTTCATTTTCTCCTCCTTGGTTTTTTGTTTATTGTTTTAGAATTAGATCTAAATTAATTTGAAAGTTGTTGAAATTGATGTACATTTACCTACATTTACAGTTTAAAAAATTAACAGCTAAAACCATCATGTTTCTTTTACTTGTCAATACTGTCAATACTGTTTTATGGCTAATAAAACAGATAACCAATTTTACTACTTATAACTAACAGCATGGTTTTAATTTTTAAAGTATTGCACAGTAACAAGTCACTGTGTTCTTGATTCACTAATTAGTAGGAAAGTAGCAGTGCATCCTTACTCTAGTTTTAATTACTGACTAGAAGATAGAAGAGATACTTTTATTACAAAATCCAGTGTGGAAGACATTTGGTTATACACTCATTCGATACTGATTTTCTTTTAATTCCTTCTATTTATGTCTGTCTTGTTATGTCTCCAACCAAGAATAATCTTTTAAAAGTCAAAGTTTTTTGTACTATTGAGGAAATTCCTAATTTTATATAAGAACATGACATTTTATAAGAAGATTAAAAGCTAATATTAATTAATACAGATCTTTTATTATGTCTTTATTTCTTTTAAACATAGTTGTATCAGAGTGGGTTCAGTCTAGAGATAGAAACCACACAGAGGGTTAACAGCATAAGATTTTATGTAATGAATTATTAAATTCTGATAAAAGAATCACAAAAGTATGACTATATATGGTAGGTACCTATGACCAAGAGAAGGAGGTCACACTTACAAGGAACCCTTTTCCAAGGCTGGGTTTAGAAATTGTTGGAGAAGGTCAAGTTCACCTCAGCGGATTAGTTGGAAAATTTACTTCTTTGCCCTGATTAGAGCTGGCCTGTCGTCACTGCACAATCAGGGCAACGTGGAGTGCAGGCCACCAGTAACAGGTGTCATGGGTGTGCAGAGGGAGTGGTAGCTCTGTGGGAAAGCGCAGTCAAGCCACTCCTGTGGGTCTCCATAGGAAATCAGGTTGCTGGAAAGGGCAGGGGGACTGCAGTCGGGAACTGCTTCTCCTGTGGTGTCCTTTCAGAAACAGACTGAAAGCTTAATGTGCTTGTCACAATAGAGGTGCTTAAAGAAATTGTGGCAGTGCCTATATATTGAAGGGTGACTTTGGAACTGAGTCATTAAATTGATAATGGGCACAATATATTTTCCCAGGTTTTTTGGAGGGTTTTTTGTGGGTTTTTTTGGCCATATAGGTGTGTGAAAACTATTAATAACCTTCCTGTACTTTTTATTGTATGTTTGTATTTGCTTTCCTTTCTTTAGTCCTCTTGACATTTAGAGTCAGATAATTCTTGGTTGTGGGAAGCTGTCCTGTGCACTGTATGGTGTTCAGCAACATCCCTGACCTGTACCCACTAGATGCTAGGAACATACACGTATATAATTGTGACAGCCAAAAATGTCTCCAGACCTGCTGGAGAACAGAATCTTACCTGGTTAAGAATCACTGCTTTAGCCCATGTCTTCTTATTTTTTTTTCCCTCCCTGTTAGAAAAAGTATAAATCTTTCATCTTACAGTTTTTCTTGTGGTTTTTAACAAGTTCTATTTTAACAAAAGAGAGTGTCTTAAATAATTACAAACTTTTGTTTTTAGAAGAGACATTAGAAGCTATTTAATCTAACACCTTGGTTTCATCTATAAGTGAATTAGGGTAGACTTTTTGATCGATTTGTTTCTGAACACGTAGCTATGTAGTTGCAGACCTAAGATTAGGACCCAGAACTTTCAATGAAAAGTTCTATACATAAATTTCTGTTACTCATTCCTTGACTCAAGACCATATAGTATGCATGCATTGTAGGTAGGTGCTTGAGATCATTAATGGTGAGGCAGTGAGTAAAAAAGTGTTGAAAGAATAATTGATTCATATATGAAAGAACTGTGGTCAGAGGGGCTCCTCTGAGATGCAGTTTTGTGGTTCTAACTGTTGAAACGGTTGTGGACTTTGAATCAGAAGACCAAGAGTCTGGTCCTGGTTCTGAATTAACTTCATAACAACCTGGACCTTAGTTGTCATTTTTGAAATTTTACTAAACTAACTATTCTAAATTCCCTGTGACACCAGTTTTAGCGTAGTATCAGCCTTTCTCCATTGGAGTTGAGGATGAGAGTAGAGAAGGCCTAGAGCCTGTCACAGTATTCTAGGACAGGGGTATAAGGAGAAACAGTTAGTCCTGGCTGGTGTGGCTCAGTGGATTGAGCACAGGCCTGTGAACCAAAGGGTCACTGGTTCGATAACCAGTGAGGGCACATGCCTGGATTGCAGGCCAAGTCCCCAGTAGGGGTCACGTGAGAGGCAACCACACACTGATATTTCTCTCCCTCTTTCCCCTCCCCTCTCTCTAAAAATGAATAAATAAAATCTTTAAAAATAAAATGTTTCTTAAAAAAAAAAAACAATTAAACTTTCTTTTATATAGTTTTGATGGCCTAAACAGAATGGATAGATTGCCAGGTAATTGGACTGAGGCAAATCTAGTATTATAGTAGTGAATATGCTTTAATACCAAACTGCTCTGAAATTCTGGAGCTGTTAGTGTTTTACAGAGATTTGATTCTGAGAAAAAAATTATTTTAAGGTAGAATTCTGGGTGAGTTAAGGAGTTAAAAAACAATGCACAGAATTGGGGAAAATATTTGCTTATCCTATATCAGATAAAGGATTTGTATCCAGAATACGTAAGGAACTCTTATAATATACAGCAATAAAAAAATTAAAAAGGGGAAAAAGATTTGATGGACACTGCTCCAAAGAAGGTATATAAATGGCCAGTAACCAAATGAAAAGATGCTCAGTATAACTAATCCTTAGGGAAATGAAGTTGAAACCATAAGGAGATACCACATCACACCCACTAGGGATGACTGTAATAGAAAAGATGGACAAAAACAAGTGTTGGCATGGATGTGGACAAATTGGAACATTTATACATTTCTGATGGGAATGTAAATTGGTGCTCCCGCTTTGAAAAACAGTTTGGCAATTCCTCAAGACTTAATTACCATATGGCAGTTAAAGAGTTACCATATAACTCAGCAATTCCACTGCTGGGGGGGGCAGGCCGGAGGAGGAGGTGTGTAAAAGAAAATTGAAAATGTGTATCAAGTATCCAAGTTCAAGAATTTGTACATGAATATTCATAGTAGCTAACAAGTAGACACAATTTAAATGTGGCGTCTCCATACAATTAAATATTATTTGGCCATAAATACTAATGAAGTTGTGATACATGGTACAGCATGAATGAACCTTGAAAGCATAGTCTGAAAAAGAGAGAGAGCGAACAGATGCTAAAGGCCACATATTGTATGATTCCATTTATATGAAATTTCTGGAAGAGAGTTGAGATTAGTGATTTCCAGGGGGTGGAGGAGGGAGAAAGGAAGTAATTATTAAAGGGTACAGATTTCGTTTGAGGATGACGAAAATTTTCTGAAATTAGATGTTGGCAATGGATGTACTAAAAAAACACTCTGAATGTACTAAAAAAACACTCAGTTGTACACTTTAAAAGGATGAATTTTATGGTATGTAAACTACATCTTAGTAAAGTGGGTTTTTTAAAAAATTGAACCTGAAAATTTTAAAAAGGTGTTGTTTAGTCAGTTCATATTTGTTCACATTTCTTCCAAAGCATTTCCTATAATTTCACTGTGTTTTTTTCCTGTTTAATGTTTACTCTGTTTGATATTTTTGACTTTGTTTCTTTAAGCAAGTTTTGGTTAAAATTTAGCTCACCTGAAGCTATTGCCTTTATAGGTTAAACAGTAGGAATAGGACAAAGGATATCAAGACATTCATCCCTGTCTGATGTTTTTTGCATTGATAACACATGTAGTCATAATCTGTTTAGGGTTTCTCTTATGAGAAAAAATGTTTATGTGAATTATCCAGGAAGAAGAAACAATAATGTAAAAATTAATTTTCTATCTTGTTTTATATTTAGTTAAAGAGGCATAAGCTTAATGAAAAAATAGCATACAAATGATGCCCTTTTAAAAACTTTGAAGAGGTAGATGTTTAACAATTTTCAACTCTTCATGTGAAGAATTAAAATTATAATGTTCATTTTTAATAATTTATCATTACAGACAGATTTGACCAGTTTTGGGCCATCAATCGGAAACTCATGGAATATCCTGCAGAAGAAAATGGATTTCGTTACATCCCTTTTAGAATATATCAGGTAGGAAGTGACATTTTTAACAACAACTTATGAAAGCCACAGACATCTTCCTTCTTGAAGTACTCTAATCTAAAACTCTTTTTAAGTTTGAACAGTAACAGAATGGTATTTCTTAGGGCTTTCCAGACTTGTTTCTTTTGGCAAACAAAAGACTGCACTGAAATATTTGTCTCCTATACAGTTGATCTTCATTATTTGCAGGATCTGCATTTGCAGATCTGCCTGCTTGCTAAAATTCATTTGGAGCCCCACAGCCAGTGCTCATGAGCAGTGCTATCACGGACTTGTGCTGAGGGACGAAAAATTTGATTTGCCCAGTGCACATTCTCAGCATTGCTGTTGCCTTCTTGTTCCCTCTCTCACACTGTGAACAAGTGACTTTTCCGCATCTATGTAGGGCCACATTTTTCACATTTTTTGCTTTTTGGGTACCAAAAAACGCCCAAGCATAGTGCTGAAGTGCTGTCTTTACACAAAAACACACATAAAACAAAGTTATATGTTGATCAATTGAAGAACATGTGACCAGAGGTTCTAGTAACCCAACTGTATATTGCCCCTAGGAACAGTGGTTCAGTATTGCTAATTCATTGTTTGTGGTGACTATATATAAGTACTGCAGATAGGAAGAATCAACAGTCTTCATTGTCATGCAGTAAAATAGATAATAAGTACCTTCACTACACCCTTTTATGGGATAAAGAAACTCCATGTTTCTGTAGAGTACTTTAAAATTCCTATGTGTTTTTCATATAGCAAATAGTAAATAGTTGTTGAATGAACGGTATTACAGAAAGCAAGTTACCTATTATGGAAAAAAAAAGTTAATAGGAATTGGAAACATAATACTAAAAATATAAACTCTAATCCAGCAGAACTTCCATTCAAACTCAAAGAGATAGTGTTTTAACTTGTCCTTGCAGACATTTTCACTGTTCCACAGTCTTTATTCTTAGTTACTTTGATAGTTATTTTTAAATTTTTTTTGGTAGAGCTATCATGTAGAGAAAACAAATTGTCTAATTGAAAATAAGTAAACAAAAATCCCAGTATACTCAAAGAATGAAAAATATTTCTGACTTATGGTTGCTTTTCATTGATTTCATTAACATAATGACAGATTATTTTTAGTTTGTAGATTCATAAATGAGAAAAATGCCCAGTGGAATAACACCAGATTATCTAATTAGCCACACTCCCCTGCTTCCTTTTTAAATAGGAAAATAAAATTTTAATTCTACAAGTCTTTGTTAAACACAGTTATTACACAGTGGGTTTGAAAATACCACAGTTTATTTATAGTTTATCTTGTATTCATGAAGAATCTGAGACATTTTACAAAAAACAAAATGGAAACTCAGCATGAAATTACATAAGCTATGAATAAGTAAAACCCTCAGATTTATTAAATTGACCCACAAATTTGACTACGAGCTTTTTGTAACCTACTAGGTTGTCAGGGAAAGCTAAACTTTCTTGGGCATTACATAGGAAAGAAATTTCATTTAGAGGGGGCAAGGCAATACCATATCTACAGTAAAAAAATAATTGTTTCCATAAAGCTTCTTTCTAAAGTGTCACTCATTGATAACACAAAGTGTATCACAAGCCATGGATTATCCACAGTATAATAAAACAATCAGTGAAGTATTCGGACGGCTAAGACAGAAAAGATTTTTAGGTTATTTTATGGAAGAACATGTCTATCAAATAAGGAAAATAATTGATGGAACATGATAGTTGAGGATTGGAATTAACCAGTAAAGGTTAAGCTAGCAGAGGAGAGGAGAGATCAAGGAATGGAAGGGGAAATTTGTTCCTGCTCATATGGGAAAGTGTGAGTCTTCTCTGTATAGCAAGGAATAAAGCCATCTTCTGAGAACAGAAGTCTAGGAGTTTTGGCACCTATTATGTTCCACAGTGGCCAAGTAGAACAGTTCCTATATTTGCATTTAAAAAAATATTAGAGAAAGACTACAGGAAGCTTAGTTATTTCTACTGAGAAAGAAATATTTCACATTAGATGAGTCGGTACTCGCCACTTAGGTATTCCTTAAAAGAAGCTTTAGGATAGTTTTACAAAACTGGATTCAGTAATGATATGCTTTAGTTATTCCACAGAGAAAAGCCAAAATAGAGTCAGAGTTTATGGACTGAGTATAACATTTATAGTGGGTAAGATTTTTTATGTAGTCTGTAAATCTTGTAGCACTTTCTTCACCGTCACTGACATAAACATGCTGATTAAAATACAGGTTAAAAACAACAGGTTATCATAGAATTTTAGAGTAGTTTCCTAAGTTTTCTGAGTGGATTTCAAATTTGTTTAAGCCACAGCCCACTTTGGTTCTGAGTTTAGAAGGGGAGGGTGGATCGGGGCCAGTGGGATTGACTCGGGTGACTTGACTCTCTCCTCTTGGGGCCAGTAGCTGTAGCATTGACTATTTATGGAAAATATGAAGCACAGTTTTAAAATTACCTCTTTGTCTAGGCCTATACAGGTTCAGTGCTTTTCCCAAGTTTGGTAGTTCTTGATCTAGTTAGCACCCTGGATACACTGATAGCCTCAACATGCTAGTAACATATCTGAGGTAAGGTTAGATGTTTTTTAAAAAATCTGTGTAGTAGGATTTAGCATTGGGTTTTGTACACTGTAAGTGCTCCATGAGTACTTAGTTAATTGAATCCTGGGGTATTGAAAGGGTCAAGGATAACATAATTTTAAAGCTGAAAAAAGACCTTATAGTTCAAGTAATTCAAAACTGAGAAACTAGCAGATTTTCCTTAACTTTTAGATACATGATGGTTTTAACAAGAACAGTGCTATTGTAGCAGCTGAAGAACAAAAAAATACTTCTAAAATTAACTAAAATGATGGGAGAAGAGTAGGAACAAGTGAAAAAGAGCTATTGGAAGGGTAACTTAAAAATACAGTGCATGGCCAAGATCACAGTTTTGCCTTATTCACCTAATTTTGACCTCTTTTTGCTTCAGTGTCCTAGTTTGACAGTTCATAACTACATGTAAACCTCACTGAGGTCAGAAAGTTGTAAAATATTGGGAGACAAAAAGGATAAAGCAGTTGCTCTTAGAAAAGGAAGTTGTTTCCTAGAAGAGCACGGGAGGAGGAGAGGAGGAGTCCGGAGCCTGCCGCCCGGCTGTTCACGGGAGGCGGTCTGGCTGGGCCTGTTTCCGCATCCATGAAGTGAGAGGCGTGTGGCCGAGTGAGATTATACCTCTGGCTGCTGTTGTTCTTTACAGAAGCCATGTGACCAATTTATATCATTGTATCAGTGATGTTCTTATTTTTTAAAACATTTAAACTCCTGTTTTCAGAGCAGATTCATCATTTTCACAAGAGTCGTTTTCCTTTATGGTGCTGTTTGACTCAAGTCCTTAACAGTGCCATATGACTTACTACTAAAAATGAAATTTATACTTTTCTGGTGGTTCATCTTTTTATGAAGGCAGAATAATTGTTTTGTTCATGCGGTGTGTCCAAGGTCTAAAAGGTGCCTGGCATGTAGTAGGCATTTGTGAGTATTTGTTAATTCATTATATTATTCCTCGATAATTGATAGTTAATTGGGGGCTATTCTTCTATACCACGACCTCTATAGTAATGTGCCATAATGAATTCTCAGAGGTTAGCAAAGTATCTTATTTGTGGAATAGTTGAATAAAATATATCACAGACATCCCCAAGAGTTCCAGAACTGATTCGAGATATATACCTCCCAGCACTTACATGGATGGCTGGGTTCTGGCATGTGTATTTAACTACACTGTAATTTCCATATTGTAAATACTTTAAGCTCCTATAGGAAAAGTGTCTTATACTATTGCTTAACATGGGGATTATTGTCAGAATAATAGAGCAGATGTACAGAAAGGACATCTTCCTTTTCACATTTACATTCTTTTCTGGGGAAAATTGTCAGCTGTATCCATACCTCTTACTGTGGTGTCATAACACAGAAGGATTTAGAGAGAGGGGGAGGGGAGAGAGAAAGAATGTGTATGAGAGAGAGAATGGTTTTTATAAAGTTCTATAATTAGATAGAAAGTGGGAAGCTAGAGAATTCTCAAAATTTGCTTGATGAAATGTGGCTGCCAGGTGAGCCTCTGTCAGAGCAGACTGCTGCCTGATCTTTCCTGTGTCAAGATGAATGTGCGTTTTTTTCCTTAAATAGGAGGAGACAGAGCCTGAGGTTTTCAATTGACTTATATAACTTTTGTGTTGGCTTCACCCCTTTCCAGTTTGGTTCTTACATGAATTTGTTAAAATTTTAGAGGTGAGATATGTAAGTGAATATAAAGTTTAGGAGCCTTAGTTTTTCCCAATTGTTCATTTCCTGGCTTTTTCCATTTCCTATTTTGTATTTGCAGCTCTTCATTCTTTCCTTAACCAAAAGGAAGGTGGGCTCTGCTTTCCATTTTCCTAATTGTATGATCCGATGGTAATACAGGCTTCTCTTGCTGACTCCTTTACAGCTGATTTGTTTGAATGGTCGATATATTCCATTGATTTATGTAGCTTTTACTTATGCTGCATTTTGATTAATGTGGGTACTTTTTCTTTAACATGCTAGACATAAATCCCTGTACTATATGAAACCTTAAGTTAATAAGTTAATTTAAAGAAAACCTGAAAATCCAGGTTTTAATAAGATAAATGAAGGTCAGAATTTTGCTGAAGTTGTTTGTTTGTTTGTTTGTTTGTTTTGTAGAATCCTAATAGAATTCCTCTGTAGCAGGGGATAAAAAGGAAGGGCACTGAGTGTGCTTGAGTTAAGCCCATTTTATCTTTTGAAGCCTCGAAACCATCTTATGATGATGTAGGGATCATTATCTGATACCAAATAAAGGACACTGAAGCTGAGAGACTTTAAAGTCAATTCCTCAGTAGCACACACATGAAAAGTGGAAGTGCTAGAATTCAGACCTAGATGAGACTGAAAAAATATGATTTTATTTATAAAAATTAAGATTATGGAATT